GGGGGGGGGAGAAAAAAAAGTTTTTTGAGTGACAAAAGAAATGCAGCCGTGATGAGAATGAGGCTTGTTGCAAAAGCTAGTCAAGTGTAGAGAGAATAGAAAACTAACTACGGCGAGAAAGTCTATGCCATTCTGTAACACCACTAGTTTATTTATTTATTTAAATAGCTAATTTTCTACAATAAACGTTTTCTGAGGGAAAAATATTTACAATTTTGTAAATTTGAATATTTTTTGCAATTTATGATTTTTTTTCTTGTAAATTTCAAACGCAAATTATGCAAAACGTATTTTTTTTTCTTTCAAAAAATTGAACATGACATTTTTTAAAGAGGTAATTTTGTACGACAAACTTTGTACTTTTAAAATTGTTTTCTGTAATTTCAAAACGAAAAACAAAAAGAAAGAAAGAAAGAGAGAAAAGAGCAATTCTCGAAAATGGGATTAGCACCACATTCCTTACCATCCCTTATTTCGTACGTGGAGAAAAATTTGTTTTTTTTTTCGTAAATTTCAAGCACATATTATGCAAAAACTCCTAATTTTTACATAAACTGTAATGATTGTTTTCAAAGACCTAATTTTGTACAACAGATGCCCCGACTTCAGCCAGATCAATTGGGGAATTTCAATTTTCGAGAAAATCGGATGAACAGTTAAGTCGCTAGCGTTGACCACAGACAGATGGATGTTTTGCTGTCAATTGATTTTTCGAGAATTACTGAAGCATGGCCCCAGTTTATTATTGGATCTTATTACTTGATTATACAATAGATCTTTAATGGGAGAATAATTACCAAAGGACTCCAGAAAAGGATATAGTATCTCTAATGTCTTCAACCAAAGATAATAGGAAACAGTGTTCAAATTATAGAGGTCCTTGGCAGCACTGGCTGAGTATATGGGAAAAATTAAAAACCGTCTGGAAAGATACTTCATTGATATCGAGGAATAAAGTGGTTTTCGAGCATCGAGCGGGGCGCTCATGAATAGCAAAAATCTTTAGTATTATACACACATCTTACCCACAATTTAAAGGAGCACCTATTGTTTATAAATCTGCACAAGGCCTATGATACTGTCCTATAGCTAGGCTATGGATGGGAATGGAGAAACAAAATGTGAATACTCAATTGATTTAAGCTGTAAAAGATTTGTACAGTGTTAATATGAACCAAATAAAAGAAGGGAGAAACATTTCAGCACCATTTCCAGCAAATAAAGGTTTACGACAGGGGTGCTATGTAGCCCAGACTTTGTTTAAAATGTGTGTGAATGAAGCCCCGAGAAGATGGAAGATAGAAATGCAGTAATATGGGTATTAAAACTATTTTCTCTATTTGCAGATAATCGGGTAGTGTTTGCTGAAGATAAAGACAATGCTCTGCACATGTTGCAGAGATTATATGAAGAGAATTCAGTTTGACGATTAGAGATAAATATTATCAAGACAAGTGTACATGGTTGTAAGATGAAGTGCAAAAGGTCTGAACATGAATTATAATTCAATATAAAACCCTGACAAAAATTCACATACGTAGGTTCACAAATAAATGCCAATGGAGGCAGTACGCATGATATCAAAAACTGATTTGCAAATGGCAGAGTGGCTATAAAACAATTTCATCAACTGATGTGGAAAGATTAAATTAAGAATGAGAGTGAAGGGAAAATTGTACACAACAGTTGTAGAGAATATTGCCCTTTAAGGGTCAGAGGTATGGGAAGAAAAAAAAGAGCGAACAAAATTGACAGTAATGGAAAAGGATTTCTGGTGCCAAAGCTGCAAACTGACATAAATGGATAAAGTTGAGAACGAAGAAATTAAACGTTAAGTGGACATATGTTTTAATATAATTGACACAATAGTGAAAAATGAAAAGACTAAAATGGCATGGACAAATGCAAATAATGAATGAAGGTTGGTCGAAAATATTATGGAAATGGCCTCCAGCTACCCATTGAAGAATAGGAAGACCTAGACTTACATGGGGAAGAGGAGTAGAAGAGACACCTCAGGGTGTAATATAATTCGCTATACTACTGCTGCTACTACTACTACTGAAGCAATGCATCTTTCTTATGCCAGATTGGATAAATTTGGTCATCTTCCCATAACTCTGAAAAGCCACTGCTGTGTAGAGTTACGACCATTTATGAGGAATTTCTAATACAAATAATCAAATGTAGTAGCAACCTAAATGCCATTTTTAAATGTACAAATTTGCTGAAGAGAATTCATGTCTATAAAGTTCTAATAGAAAATCAAACCATTTGCAAAACTATTTTTCAGGAGACGAGGTATTCAATTTTGATGTAATTATTGTTTTGAAATGGATGTTCTATAACATTTATGATACATTTTGTGGATTTGTGCATGTCTTTAACACTGAATTTTTAATCACATAGCTGAATGTCCTAGAGGAATCTGGAATTCTCTTTCAATAATGGAAAATTAATCATAGATTTCAAAATTCCAGTTTCAGATCCCATGATTATTAAGGAATTAGTTTTCCATTTAATTTCTAATATTGGAACAATAAATTAAATGACACCTTGGATCCTAAATGGCCAAAAGAGAGCTGCAATCTTTGCATTTACACATTCTTGATTAATGAAATTTGAACACAAAACTGAAAAAATGGTATTATTTTTTCAATTGATTCACAAAAATTTAGAGAGTATTTTTAGACAGATTGTTTGAAGATATTTTAATACATTGTTTGCCTTTTGAATACCTCTTACTTATGCTTATTCCCAATACCAACACATGGTCAATTAGTGGAGATATTAAAGATAATAAAATAACAATAAAGGTTTAATCAAGGAGTTAAAACTTTTTCTGTGCAAATAAAGAGCACTTACATCCACTTAAAATAATTGCAAATTACTAAGGCATCTCAAACTTAAATTGAACGAGTGTAATAATTTAAAATAGAATTTCTTAATATAATTTCACATTCATTCTCAAAATTTAATAATTGCAAACTTATTAACTAAGCTTACCAATTTTATTTAGGAGGTAAATGCAGGGAACATATATGCGATTGCCTTCTATAACGTCAATAAGATCATCACTAGTAGCATCATACCTCAATGTAATATCAGCATTATGAATGCGATATTCTGACAGGATGGTTTTAACAGTGTCTAAATCTAATTCTGATTGTTGAACCTGGAATAATAGGAAAAATTTATCACCAACAATCCAGATGAAAATTTTACAAAACCTACATTACTACCACGTTATCATGATTCCCTTGCAACCTAGAAGTTATTTTTGACAATAGGAAAAAAATCACCTAATACATCACAGCATATTAATAAGAGCTGCTAATAACAGCATGTTAATACTAAATATTAATTCAAGCTACTCTTAGGATTATAACATACACCCACCCACCCACCCAAAATGCATGCACACAAATTGAATTTCAATCAATAGACAGCAATATATCCTTTAAATTTTAGAATAGGAGAAAATTAATTTTAAAATACTGTAACCTACAGATCTACTAGAAGTTCAAGGCAAAATGAATGTTTGCCAATTTATTTTGTATGAAAAGGAAAATTAAAATGTTTAAAGAACACATATAAAATTGTTTCATTACACAAAACAATTTCATTTTAATATTAATTTCATATTATTTATTAAAATGTAATAAATATATAAACATTTTAATTTTTAAGCATGCACAAAACTTGTTCTCAAAATTTGTCAGTCTAGTTTACAGATAGAATTGAGCACATAAATACATTTTTAGTCAGAAGACCATTTTAAAGCTAATGAATGCACTTTGAAAACTTCTAATTCTAAATTGGTCACACATGTAAACAAATCTGCAGTGTAGACACACATAGGTCCACATCAATGTAAAAAAGTTATAAAAGGAGACACTAAAGTGTTTTTACCTTTTGCAACTTATTAGAAGTCATAAAATAGAAGAAAAAGAATACTAGGATATTGATTCCATGAAATAATAATATATCAAAACACAGAAAATGTCTTGTACAATAATGTGTATTTAATACTATACATTCATGTTCATTGCTCAAAACGAGTCAATAAAATGTTGAGACGATGGTTAAGTGTAGACAGTTTTTAAACTAATCAATATGGCAATATAACGGTCACAGTTGAAGGAGAGAAACAACACTTGCCTGAGAACACATTTCATCACAAGTCATGTAATAAATGGGTGGAAAAAACTTCCTCAAAAAATTTATCATCTTGGAGACAAGACAATAAATTGCTTCAAAACTCAATTACATTGAGATAAATACAAATAATTATACTCTACTATAATGTACACATATATATGATATATGCTTATTACTGCTGCCATTTCATGAATAAATACAACAACAACAACAATAATAATAATATATACACTATGAATATTTTAAACATCTTTTGTTAGCCGGAACGGGTTAGAAACACAGCAATTTTTGGCTCACTTGGCCCACATTTTAGACAACTTGCTTGGGATTGGAATTACGATTTCCAAATTACACAATAAATTCTTTCCTCAGAAATCGTAATGCTAGCTGTTGTACGTAAGCTAAGTTTCCTGTGATGCCTATCAGTGCCATTGGCAGTTCAGCTGATTTTGAAACAACTGAAGATAGATATTTCCTGATAAAGAACAGTCCATTCCAAATGTTATCAAGCTGAGTTCACTTGAACGAATGGAAGAAGTCTCAATTACATCAGTAACTTATCCAATAGTTTGAGTTGTTTTTCCGAAATGGTTTTGATAACTTTTTTAGGTCATTATTCTTTGCTTTTAGAGCATTTTGATTGTTTTTGGCAATGTTTTAGGTCTGAGTAGTCCAACTGGTGCCCCAGGGGGCCTGTGCGACCTGCAGTGCAATTTATTGTCTTATATCTAAGAACTTTTTTCTAGTTTATTGAGAAATTCAAAATCATCCCAATGTGTTTCACAAGGTACACAGCTACATACCATACACAGTTCCATTGCCAATAAAAGGATTGAAGCATTATTCGTTTACAAGATGCAAATAATATCTAAAAGATTACATAGTTATTAATGAAAAGGTCATTAATACTTTTTACTATTAAAAAGCTGATGTAGACCAATAATAAATAATTTGTGTAATTTTTTTAAAACCTTTCTTTGTTGTAGTTTTTGAAAAGATTTTCATTTAGTATATTTGTAAAATTGACATGATGTGATTCACAATTATCTGCAAATAACAAATATTTTAAGAAAGAATATATTATATGATTTCAAAGGCAAATATCGAGGCTTCTTAACTATGAACTAGCTTCAATAACATGGCATGTTAAAAAGAGGTTTAAGTTCTAAAATTGCAATTAAAGTTGGATTTTAACCGTATACATGAGGACATTTTGTTTGAGGAAAACGGAAATCTTTCTGCGCAACCTGGCCAAACTCAAGGTCCAGCAAATTAAAAATTGTATAATTTCAGTGTCGTTAGCTGAATTCCTTAACTACACTTTGTAAAGTCATGAAGGTTAAGCGAATTCGAGACATTGTGGGTTCCTAGCTCACTGACCATCTAGGAACCCTGGTGACCAACAGTGCCAAGCACCTTGCCGAAAGGTTAAAAAAAGTCTGACTAGGACATGACGTGGCTCGAAACATAAGATGAAAAAACTAAAAAGCATTGGTGTAGCATGAAATTTCAAATTGAATATTTGTATATTTTATGTAGGTATGTATATTATGAATACATGTAAATATGTAGGATATAAAACATTTAATTGGAAATACTCACTAATGTCTGAAGATTAACACCACCTTTATCCTTTTTACGAAAAACAATATTTGGTGGAATCTTGTTCAATCTTAATCCAAAACCTTCAAGTTCATGTTCAATTAACTTCTTGTGTTGCAAAGGTTTAAGAACATCAAGTACAATAAAAATAAGACTACAAGTTCTTGCAACAGCAATAACTTGACGACCTCTTCCTTTTCCATCCTTGGCTCCTTCAATAATACCTGGGAGGTCAAGCAGCTGCAACAATGTCATGAAAGGGCAAATTCACAAATACAACTTTGAAAACAAGAGTGATACTTCTTTTGCAACAAAACTAAGGTAGCATTTTTATTAATATTCACATTAAACAATAATTGAACTTGGCATTGGGGTAGATTTTCCAGTGCTATTGAATAAATAATTCAGAATTAACCATTGGAGGAACTGTGAAAGGTAACAAGGTTAACTCTGGAAAGACAGAATTTCATAAAATTTGAATATAAATTGAAATAAAGATCACCCAAAAGGTAATTCTTGACTTTGATTAATTGGAACTTTTCCAATTAACTTGAAGTCGAATACTTCAGATGATGTCAAGGCTGCCAACAACAGCTGGTGGTTCTCATATTGTTGCTGGTATCAACACTGAGTAATAATAATAATGATAATGATGATAATAATAATTAAAACTCAAAGAATAGTTGTCATTGGGAGATGAAGTAGTAGCATATTGGATGCGGGTGATGACAGGCATCTACAAATACATACAATAATGCAAATCAAGAAGAAGAAGAAAAAAGAAGCATAAAACATCAACAAAGCACTTGAATTTATATTTTCTAGCAATACTTAAGTATAGAATTATACAAAACCTTTGAGGAAAGAGAAACCTCCAAAAAAATACTAAAATGGAATTTACTAAACACAAAATCACCAAATCTAATTTATATAAATCATCAAAAATTACTTTTAATATTAAGTGATGGCTGAATAAGTGGCTTAATGTTTGCCGACGCTCCAACAATTTATGTAGTTTTCAAAACTGGGTAAATTAAAAAAGTGAGAAATATAAAAAATAAAAAACAACAAAAAACACGAAAATAATAATAATAACAAGAACAAAATAATAATAATAATCACTAATTAAACCTTCACTGTAGATTCTCTAGCCCATTTTATCATAAATATTAGGCAAAAATCTGGACTATATTAAAGAATGAAGTAAAACTATAGTTTCAAGTATGTTAATGCTATACCCATCAACATTTTAAGGATCTACCGATGTAGAGTTTTCCTTGGAACAGAAATTAGATTTAGGATGATTATTTTGATAACAAGATTTATAAATATATTTTTTATAGAGTATTAAAAATTATCAATTACAGTTTTTTTGATGACATTTAAGCACATATTCGATTCACTCTTACAATAGCTGGATTATAGGTGTTGTGGTGTGTTATCGTTGGCATTTTTCATGAAATAATTATAGACGTTGTCATTGCCAACAATATTATTCAATGTAAGAGCAGCTTTCGATGGCTTAGCCATCATCATCAGTTGTCTGCTGGTGTTGCCAGCAGTTTTGCCAGTATCTTTAATAGTATTCTTAAATTATTAAAATAAGCAGATAAGAACTAAAGAATATCTGCATTGACAACTCTTTTATCCTTTGATGTCTTCATCTGGTGGCTCCTTGGTTTAATTTACATTTATGTTTGTGTGTGATGTTCAGTGGTTGTACAAAAGAAACTTCAAATTTAGAACCAGACAATTTAGAACATTTTTCAACAATAAAAATTTATTATTGAGTAAGTTAATTAATCATTAAATCCATAATTAGTGAAATAAAGCTGAGAACATTTTAAAGAAGTTTTTTCGTAACTAGGAAAAAATTACTTCATTCCTATTACATGTGTGTGTGTGTGTCTATTGATAAATTTGCTTCTCAAATTATTCATACACAAATAAAGTGAATAGTCCTTCCCTCCCAAAATATCAGAGACTACTGTCAGGTAAAAGCACAAAGACAAGCAGAGAGAGAGAGAGAGAGAATAATCACAATACATCTGCAAAGAGGAGCCACAGAGGTAAATAACTTACCAAAATACTATGTCATTATGATTCAAATAACGATTTGAGAATCATGATGTATTGATAAAGAAGGGTACTACTGAAGCTTTCTGCTTCATGAAGCATTATCAAGATATGACAGGAAAAAACTGAAAAAGCACAAAAATATAATATGTTAATGCCATCTCATGAAAATAATACTTTTTACACTCTAAAATGAAAATCAATGATTACTTCTACTAGTCCACGTTTCATTATTTCCGAAACTCGAAAAGAGATGCAGTTTTCATCAAAAAGCATTCAATTTTTATAATTTAATACTGATTTTGATACAGCAGAAAGGATCAATAGCAAGAACCGAATATGAAATTTCATCACAAAAATGATTAAATAATGGATGAAATAGGAAATATTTCCATGATTGTTTTCAGAATACACTTCAAAATTTAAAATTCACAATCCCAAAAGGTAGACGTGAATATTGAGAGTAAAAATTATTCTCTCCCTCTTCTGTACTGTCTTTGTTGTTCTGTGAGTGGTAAAGAAGAGTGTAAGATGCAATAATAGCAGAATTATCAATAATAGCACATTGAAAGTTAGTATTTCAGCCCAAATGACCAGGTATTGGAATTTCATTATTTACCTAAGAGTATGTCATATATACCGACACATGAAAAAAGAATTGAAAGAAAACTTGCCAGAGCCATTAGCCAATTCAAAAGCCATGCATGAAACAAAAATACTTTCATGACCTCTAAATCCTAACACAATTGCATAAAGAGCAGAAGTGCAAAACTGTAAATAATAATTAACAGTAAACATTTCCAATAAAATGCAAAATGACAGGTGTGTTTTGGCTTAAAATTATCTGAAGATACTATCCAAAAATCTCTGTTGGAAGGAAACTTTGCATATAGAAATTATTTTAAATCTGGAAATTTTAAAAACAAAACAGCCTTCATTCGCCTTAAAGTAAAATGATAGTTTACAGATAACAAAAATTCTCACCAAAATCAACTGTCACATTCTGTTTATCCCAGTATTCTCTGAAATGTATTAGACAACTAAACAAGCACATATTATTACTGATTTTTACCACATTTTTTCTTAACAAGCAAAATAGTTTACCTATAAAAATTTAACATACGATTCCATAATAAATTGGGGTAAGGGAGATCTAAACAAACCTATTAAAAATGAGTCTCATACTCACTTGAATTTTTGCTCCTTTATATTTAATACACCCAGGAACAGTTGTCAATGTGGTAAACTCATAAGCTGCTACTTCGGAGTATACACCTGCTAAATTACTTAAGAGAGTGGACTTTCCCACGGACGGAAATCCTGCAATAATTAATAGTGCAAGCATAAAAATATAAAATTGGTAATCTGGATAAAAAAACTTGATTTCTTAAGTCAAAATCAAGGTACACAACTAACCCACAAATCCTATTCGAGCATCGCCAGTTTTCGCAACGTCGAATCCTTCTCCCGTACCACCGCCGCCTCCTTTCGGAGTAATTAGTTCTCTCCTTAATTTGGCTATCCTAGCTTTTAATAAACCTAAGTGACCCGCTGTTGCCTTATTTTTTTGGGTTCTGGCCATCTACAAGAGAAATGATGACAATAAGTTCACATACGTTTCACTCATATCTTTTAAATATCGATTTCTTCTTACCTCAGCCTCTATAGCTGCAATTTTGTCTACTATTGTTGCCATGATGAATCAATTTATTCACGTAATTTAGTGGAAGTTAATAAAATTTAACCACACTTTTCGGGGACCACGCAACCTGCTTGAGCGGATGCGAGCAGATCAGATGCGAGCAAGACGCAAGTGAATCAAAATGAACGATTCTTTTTGAACACGACAAGACCGAATGTTTTCAATGAACGAACCATTGTATACCGTGTACTGTATATTTCTTACACCGAATCACAGTCTTACACCGTGGAACGAACTAATGTCATGTTACTATAAAGCAGAGATCTCCAGAGATCTCTCTAGTATACAATATCTCTGCAATACACAGATAACAGTGAATATATACTGGACGGCATGCAAAATGCATGTATAATAAATCCTCCAATTTAAATTGCCTTTCGTTACGGCTTCACATTGTGATTCTCGAGATCTATGTTCTCGCGCGTGCTTCACGTAAGGCATGATAAAGGATAAGTGCTTGCAATTGTGGTCAAAAAAGGCCATTGATCGTTTTTGAGTACTCCAGTCCCCTTGGTTCGATACTACTCGTATATCGCAATGACTCGAGTTTTTCGACTTCGTTAATTATTACCAAAGTGCACTGATATATCTACGCGTGTGTTGACATCGTTATTATTGGTTATTATATTGCCATATCTATAAGTTTCCAACACAAGAACAGCAAGTGCCGGTTTGTTGTGATATCAGTGATTCATGTTAGGAGACAGAATTTTTTTCAATATTCGGGGTCGGAACTTTAAATATTCAAATTATTCATTACTCTATTTTCTATGAAGTCTGCTAGTTTTTTTGACAGCAAGCTTTTTGTGAATACTGAATCGTTAAGTTAGTGTTAGTAATCGAATTGTGGCAGGAGACCGAAGTTTGGGAAATATTTGTGAGATTGAGGTTGTGAATTACTTGCAGCAAAATGCCGGAAGTTCTAAGCCCTTTTGTGTACTGGGCACAAACAGAAAATAATGTGACTTTGAAAGTGGATCTTAAAGATGTCAAGGTAAGAGTGCTTCATTTATTTTGACAGTCTTTAATCCGAAAAAATCAATATTAACAATTGCTGTTTCCATTGTGTGTATTTTTGACATGATTGAAAGAAAATAATGTACTTATTAGTGCAAGTTCTGCAATATGATATTGAATGTATTCACTTGCTTCTTAAGATTTTAAGTGGAAATAACTTATTATTCCAAGACATTCATGGTTTATCCTGTGCAATTTTTATTACAGAACAATATTGTGGGTACTAGAATTGAACAATTTTCAGTATTTATTAATTTGGTCATCATATGTTCCAGTTTAGTTGTCTTTGCAAGTGAATTTATGTATTTATTTTCGGAGATATGGATAGATTTGCAGGTCATAGTGGTAGTAGTTTCCTCTGGATTGCAAAACCTGTCATTTCATCTACCTGATGTATAATTTCAAGTCTGCGAATTGTTTCTTTAGCTTTATTATGCAATTTTTTAGTATAATTTTTATTACAAAAAAAAAAAAAAAAAAAAAAAAAAAAAAAAAAAAAAAAAAAATTAGATAACATACTTCAATTTCCTAGGGAGGTTTTTCTGTATAAACTGGAGCAACTTTTTACCAGAATCATTGTGTACTTGTAACTATTTACTCAAATCATTCCAGTAACAAAGTTTCTCTTTGATGTTATGTTTTGTTAATGATTAATGAATGAATGTGCTCTGTTGAAAGTACAGCTATTCCAATGGTTTGCATTTGTGAACGTGGTTGAAGAGTTCTTTTGGCATCAAACCAAGTATATTATCTTCTACATTGTCCACTCACCTGCAGGTCCGTATTAAAATAGTTTGATGTAGACAGAGCATTTAAAAAAATCCCTATATTAATCAGACATGCTGTATTATTCAGATATTTTAAAGTTGTGACCTATGATGACTTCTTATGGATTATTTCAAACTATTTGGCACTACATTTTGAATTTTACAATTTTATTTTCAAGGTAAGACCCAAAAATTCATGAATGAAACTAGCATTTTTGTTAATCTTTTAAAGCAATTTCACCGGTTTTATTGTTATTTTAACTGCTCCTAGGTTACATTTTCAATGAGGAATACCTACAAGGTTTAATTTGTTGTTGGAAACAACAGTTTTTTCAGTAATCTTGCCCCCTTTATAAATGTTTTTGTTTAACATTGATGAATGAAATATATTACTCCTAATTTGTGACTCCCTTGTTGGAATGGGCATCAATCTGCTCAACTTATTTTACTGAGAAATTAATTTGAAGAATAAACCATTGTAAATAAATAGACATTGAAGATCAATTCATCTGATTCTTCAGATAATTTTGAAAATAAATATTGTCTTATAATTGATTTTCAGTTTCACTTTATTATAAATTGCGGGGGGTACTCTCAGTGTGATTTAATTTTTGCCACAGTTTATGTGTATTCAGCCCAGCTCATTACTAAACTAATTTTACTCAGATTCGGAGTGAGATTGTAGCCGTTGCAATATTAAATTAACTGGTTCCAGAGACTGATGACTCCTTTTCGTTTCCCCATAACGTATTTTAATTGTCAACCTAAAAATTTGTCACCAACTATATTCTAATGAACCATGCAGTAATCTTTTTTTCTTACTTACTTACTTACTTTCTTTCTCTTTTTCGTGCATCTTCACATTAATACAAACTTTTGAAAATAAATAGTAGCAAATGAAAACTTTGAAAAGTTAATCAGCTGTTCATTAATTCACAGAATAAACTGGGGG